GCGCGGGGCCGGGCGCCGCGCAGGAGGGAGCTGCCTGCAGCCTCCATCGGACGGGTAGCGTTTCTGCTTCTGCTTGCCGCTGAAAGTCCAGGAAGGGGCTTGCTGCATGGGGGAGATGCAGCGCTGGGAACCGTGGCTCCAGCAGGGCAGCGGTGCCGCGCGGCTCCTTTAGCCCGCTCGGATGGCAGCGAGGAGCACAGGCCGTGCGGTGCAGGGCACGTGCAGCGGCAGGGGGCGAAGCGGGGATTAGGGAGCTGCTCAGAGGCTCCAGGCTGAAGCTGGCCCGTAAATACGAAGCGATGGGGCTGCCAAGCGCGATGCCACCCGCAGCTCTTGGCTTTGCCCCCCGGCTTGATGCTTTTTGGCAGCTGCTGCTCGGAGCCCCGCGGGCAGCGCGTCCCTGTGTCCTGCACAGAGGGCAGCCCTGCTGTCTGCGCCTGTGCGCGGCACGGTGTGCGCACAGCAATGGTGTTTGTGTGTGTGTGTGCGCGGCACGGTGTGCGCACAGCAATGATGTGTGTGTGTGTGTGCGCGGCACGGTGTGCGTGCGTGTGTGCACGGCAGGGACTGCGTGCAGCATGATGTGTGTGTGCGGCGCGGTGTGTGCGCGGCACGGTGTACGTGTGTGTGTGTGCACATGAATGTGCACGGAGCTGTGTGTGCACGGGGCTGTGCATGTTTCCCTGTGCGGGCAGGACGTGTATTCATGTCCCTGTGTGTGGGCACGAGCGTGCATCAATTCGTGCACGTCTGTGCCTCTGTGCCTGCTTGTGTGTGCAGGCGTATGTGTGTGTGTTCACGTCCCTGTGCTTGCACATGTGCATGCACAGGTCTGTGTGTGTGTGTACGAGTGCCCCGTGCACAGATGCCTGTCTGTGTGTGTGCATGAGTGTGCAGAGATGTGTGTGTCCCTCTGTGCATGCGTGTGTATTCACAAGGCTGCAGCAATGTGTGTTTGTGTCCCTGCATGTGCCCTGTTGTGCCTGTTTTCCCAGGGACATGCAGCTGCACAAGTGTCCGTGGATCTGTGGCTTCCCTGCGTGTGCCCACGAGTGTGCAGGGATGGGTGTGTGTCTATGTGCACGTGTATATGTGCACATGGATGTACGGACATATGTGTGCATGGGCACACGTGTGCATGTGTCCCTCCGTGTGTGTGTGTATAAGCACATGCATTTCTGCATGCATGCAGACGTGTGCATGCGCTCCCGTGCACACGTGCGTGTGCACGGCCCCAGGGAGCGCGTCTGCAGAGCTACGGGCCGTCGTGCCAGAGCTCTTGTGCCCGGGGGGTGCCGAGGGCGTCTCCCGCGCACGGAGCGGTGGGCCCTGCTCAGGCGCGTGCAGCGTTGGGCCCCTCCGTGGTGCAAACCCGCACGGAGCCTCGCTGCGCCGGGGCAGCGCTGCTCCTCTGCATCCACAGCCCTCGGCAGCGCTGGCCTTCAGCGTCTGCCTTCATGCCAGTGTGGCGTAAACACTGGAGATCCAAAGGGAAGAGTTCAGGGGAAGGGAAATCCTTAAAATGCTGCCAATTTGCTCAGCTGTTCGGGGTCACCGCTTCCAAACCCTGCTGTGCAGTAAAAATCCCTGTGCTTTGCTCTGCATTGCCAGAGCAGAGCTGAACCTCTCCTGCATTAATCCGACACCAGCTTCACTGAAATGTTCCCCTTAGAGTCACCTTTGGAAAACTCCTGGCCCTTGCTGGTAATTTTTTCTGGTGCATGGAGGAAGATGCTGGTTCTCCATGAGAGAGGATCCCCGCTTTGCAGCTGGAGATACTCAAACTGTGGCTAGAGAAGTCCCTGAACAACCTGATCTAGCTTTGAAATCGACTCTGATCAAAGGAAGAGGTTGGACCAGAGACCTGTGGAGGTGCCTTGTAACCTCAGTCCTTCTGTGACTCTGAATCACTGAATATCGCTGGCTGGAGCGGAGATCTCTGCCTCCAGCAGTCGCCTATATGGGCTCTAGACTGACAGTAATATTGGCTGAATCCTGCATGGCTCTGCTACCTGTTGAATCCCTTTAGGGAGCAGCTCATTTCTCCCACCTCATTTCTAACCTCATGCTTTTGATCTTTTTGCAAGGGGATTATCTTGCTCTTGTCTTGCTCTGCAAGAATGTCATGGTGTGGGCCAGGCATCCAGCCATATCGGTAGCAGAGGACATGCCTGGGGACATCGTTCTCCTCTCCCAGAAGCACCTCCATGTCTCCTCTGATGCTTCTTGGGACCTTCTACGCAGCAAGATCGCCCTGTGCAATGGCCTTATTTGAGTATCATTTGACTTAGGATTGTGTCTTACATGATCCCTCAATCTGCTGCCTTCCCCCGGTCTGTCCATCTCTCCGTCTCGCCTCCCTGGATTGTCCTTGGCTTTACTAACGCCTCTGCTATCTCTCACTTGCAGGTGACCACAATGTTGCACTATGGGAAGAACTGGAGGTCCATGTGTAAGGGGCTCGTCCTGGGAACACTCCTGACCAGCTTCATGCTGCTCCTCTACTCCTACGCCGTCCCACCGCTGCAAGTCAGCATGACAGAGTAAGTGCCTGTCCTGCACACACAGCCCGGCATGTCCACGGTGGGATGGCAAAGGTGGCCTTGGCCCCTAGGACAACCTGCTGGGTCCCAACAGGGTGCCAGCTCAGACCATGGCTAGGCAGAGGGGCAGCTGCTTTCCATGGGCTGCCAGCACATCCAGCATAAACATATACATTTAGGCTTAATAAACCCATTATATAGACACCCTTTACCGTCGGGTTTGTCCTCCAAAATCACGACAGAAACACTGCCACATGTGTAACACTGCCTCACACAGGAGTGGTGACAGGTAAGTTCAATGCCCTTTGCATAGGGACCTTGCAAAGACCTTAGGTCATTCCTCAGGGTGAATAGCTCAGCATAAAAACGTGCTGCTGAACAGCCCGGGCGCTGGGGCTGCCGCTGCTGCTGCTGTGTTGGTGCTGCTGACTGCAGGGTTGGAGCTGGATAACGTGACTGCAGCGGAAGGGCTCCCGTGCCCTCTGCAGCCTGGGTCTGGGAAGGGAGTGGAGACACCGCTGTGCCTTCCTGCACGGTGTCCCCCAGCTACCCGGAGGGAAGGGGCCCCTCGTGCTTGGGCTGCACTGGTGGAAATGGGGACTAACCCCAGTGAAGGCCCTGCTGATCCCTGTAACGGCCCTTCCTCGGAGGCCACACGAGGCTGGGGTCGTTATGATGCAGTCAGCTCTTCCTAGCTCCCTAGGGGCAGCCATGCGGGAGTGAGGAGCCCAACGGGCTCTTCCCCAGGGCTGTGGGCCAAGCACCCTTCCCCAGTGCCAAGCTCCTTTGGAAAAGAAGCTCCTTGGAACTGGGGGCCAAGCCAGCCTCACCAGGGTGTCCTGTTTTTTTCTTTCCACCAGGATCCCTATCCCTTATTCCTGCTCTTCCTACCCAGCCCAGGCCAAGGTGCCAACAGAGGCAAATGGCACCCGTGGCTCTCGAGGACAAGGCTGTCGGCCCAAGATGGACATTATGTTCATGAAGACACACAAGACAGCCAGCAGCACCATCCTCAACATCCTCTTCCGCTTCGGAGAGAAGCACCGCCTCAAATTTGCCTTCCCCAATGGCCGCAATGACTTCTACTACCCCTCCTACTTCGAGCGGAGCCAGGTGCAGCATTACCAGCCGGGTATGTGCTTCAATATCATCTGCAACCACATGCGCTTCCACTACGACGAGGTGCGCAAGCTCCTGCCAGCCGACACCGTCTTCCTCACGGTGCTGCGGGACCCTGCCTACCTCTTCGAGTCTTCTTTCCACTACTTCTGGCGTGTCATCCCCTTCACCTGGAAGCTGACGGGGGAGGACAAGCTGGCAGAGTTCCTCCGGGACCCCTGGCATTACTATGACCCGAATGGGTTCAATGCTCACTACCTCCAGAACCTGCTTTTCTTTGACTTGGGCTATGACAACAACATGAATGCCAATAGCCCGCTCGTGGAGCAGTACTTCCAAGAGATAGATCAGCGCTTCCATCTCGTCATGTTGCTCGAGTACTTTGATGAATCCCTGGTGCTGCTGAAGGACCTGCTGTGCTGGGAGCTCGAAGACATCCTCTACTTCAAGCTCAACGCTCGGAAGGGCTCCACTGTCTCCAGACTGACACCTGAGCTCTATGAGAAGGCTACTTCTTGGAACCTCATCGATGCCAAACTCTATCGCTATTTTAATGCCACTTTCTGGCATAAGGTGGATATCTATGGGAGGGAACGAATGGCAAAGGATGTGGCCGAGCTGCAGCAGGCGAACGAGAAGATGAAAAGCATCTGCATTGATGGGGGTCACCCTGTGGACGCCAGTGCCATCCAGGAGTCCTCCATGCAGCCTTGGCAGCCACTGGGGGAAAAATCCATCCTGGGCTACAACTTGAAGAAAAAGATCAACAAGAAGCACCGGAAGCTGTGCCGCAAGATGCTGACACCCGAAATCCAGTACCTGACGGACCTGGGGGTCAACCTCTGGATCACCAAGCTGTGGAGCCGTGTGCGAGACTTCCTGAAGTGGTAGGCACGGAAGGGCAGCCCATCTTCCCCTCCCCACCCAAAGAAAGAACCAGGTGCTTTCATTTTCTTACTTCGTGATATCTTTTGGTTGGACTTGAACTGGCTTGAGACTCCTGCAGGGAATGCAGTTCTTCTCCCCAAAGCCCTGGGCACCCAAGCAGGACAGACCTTGCACAGCCCTCTGTGAGCCTCGTTTGGAGCCCCGCTTGGAAGGGAGGCCGGAGGGAAGCGCTGCTGCTCCATGGGGCTGCCCGTGCGCCTTTGTGCCTCGGCCTCCTCGACAGCTCGCACCCACAGCCCGCAGCAGCCGTGTGCAGACCAGGTCATAGCCACTGTCAGCAACAGGTTCTTCAGGGATTATGCGGGTTTTTCGTTCCTGGAGAATCTGTTTCTTCCTTCCATGCAGAAGGGCAGCATTTGTGACAGACGGGTCCCCGTCAGCTCCTCCTCGCAGGACCAGTGACGGGTCCTCTCAGCGGAGGTCGCTCAGGGGAGCAAGAGCGGGCGCTGGCGGCTGCGTGCGCCGACGTGTCGCGAGGGCGGCGAGCTCCAGGGAAGACGTGTCGGCTTCGCTCGCGCCCCTCGGTGCAGTATGTGTCCGTGTGCAAGGGGACAGACAGGGGACCGCGAGGCTCCGGCTGGTGCCCCGCACATTCGGCTGAGCTGGAGCGGGGCCAGCGCTGGGGTCGGGCCAGGAATTTGTTTGGCCCAATTCGGTGCCCCACGTGCCCTGCGTTCATGCCTGCCCATCCTGAGGCAGCTCTACGGTGGCCTGGGGACACTGTGGGCCGGGGGAGGCTGCAGCCCTTCCCTATGCTGATGCTGGCTGGGGACCCTGTGTCCTGCCTGCCTGGCCCCAGGAGCTGAACCCTTTTTCCTCAAGCCCCCATCGTGCAGCCCGTTCCCAAGCCCTCCACGCTGCTCAGCCCGGTCCCGGCCCCAGCTCCGCAGGCGCGTCGAGTGCTCAGTCCTCAGCCGGTCCTTGCCTGCGGGTCCAGGTAATGCTACCAACACAGAGCCAGCCAAAAGACTTACCAGATCTGTAGCATCATCAACACTTGAGCTTCAAGAATGTAAAAAAAACACCCTGAAATCCCAGAGCTGCCCAAAGGGGCTGGCAGTCCTTCTGCGCAGCAGCTGGGGGCTTGTGGGGATGAAGGGGAGGCGCCAGCGTCACAGCGTGAGGACAGTTGTC